GGAAGGGGGGCACCAGGTGCACCAAGGTGCACCCCAGAAAGTGGCATTCTAGCCACAGTGAGATCAAACATCTTGACTTTGCTGAGGGGTGCCGAGGAAGAGTCCGAGTACCTAGGTGGATGGATTAGTGATGGTTTTCCCCTAAAACCGCTCCAGCCCCTGTAGCTCAGGCCCTTTTCCCTCTCTTGGGCACTGAGGTGGCTCCAAGTTGAAGGCTGCTGTCTCTGGGTCAAGCTGGCACGGTGAGACTTGGCCTGAGAGAGTCAACAGGGCCAGCTTTGGGCCTTTTCGGAGTAGACCTCTTTGGGTTCTGATAAACACGCTGTGCAAATCACATGCAAATCAGCTTTGCAAACTCTTAGTCAACAGCTTCTACAAGTCTTACTCAGGGTGACTCTTGCAAAGGGAAGAAGCTTTCTGGCGTCTTCAGATGTGCGACCCCATATGTCACTTTCCGTCGCTCAGTTTTACTGATGAAGGAAAGTGAAGCGTAGAGAGGAGCCGTTACTTGCTCATGGTCGCACAGCACTATATATAGCTCCTACGAAGTAGAATGAAATGACCCTCGAATTTCCTTCCAATCCAGAGATGCAGGTTCCAACATTATTAGTCAATATGAGCAATTTACACCAAAGTACGCTCAAGTCCTCCCTGTCTGGGACAGTGGCCCGCTGCCCAGAGCCAGCTTGAGGTGACTTTGTGTGGGGTGAGCCGGCGCTTCAAGCCTTGCCTACTTCTTTTCTCAGATGAAGAGAATGGTCCCCCATTCTGCTTCCCCCAAATGTATTGAGGCTGAAGGACTTTGGAAACTTCAGTCAGCATAGATACGAAGCCATTCATTCACATGGAAAATTGGGGTTTTGAGCAAAGATGTCTTTCAGATGTTCCTTGCCTGCTCTGGGTCTTCAATGATTTTAGCTTCTGTTCCCTGTCTCCCCCGTACCCCACCCCCTCCGCCAAAAGAAACTTCCTACTGTGCTAGAAAAACAGGATCGCTGTCTTGACACCCTGAATTCTGAAAGGTCAGCACGGTGGTTTGGGAGGCCATCTTTTTCGCTTTGCTTGTCAGCAGAAGTGAGACCGAATGCTTCGCTCACAGGAAGTGCTGGTGGGGCCCAGTCCCAGCTTTGCAGCTCAAGCATATGTGGATTCCATCCTTCCCTTTGACGGATGTTTTGTATGCATCGATTCTGCGCCGGGCCCTGAACACACAGAGCCGAACAAAAGAGAGGCAACCCCTGCTCCCATATGGCTCATGGGTCTCGTAGGGGAGATGTACAGTAAACAACCTATCGCACAACTAATTTCAATTACGATGAAAACCACTATAAAGGGAAAGCTCGGATGTCAGGAAAGGGGATGGAAAGAGGGTCAGACCTAGTTTATTGGGGGTGGTTCCCTGATGAGTGGATCTGAGCCGAGATCTGAGCACCAGACGGTGACACAGCCTGGAGGCTGGGGAGCTAGGTACCAGCTCACTGTGCTCAGACCCCGAGATTCCCATCCACTTGACACCAGCCAGCACATATGTCCGAATCCCAGCCGATGCTTGGTTGCACTGAAGAATAAACATAACAGTTTGGTGTGCTGGCCTGTTTAGCCCCGTTCAGTGGTGATAGGTCCCCAGGGAAGAATGGCTGCAGGAGGGTGGGGCAGAGGCCAGAGGAAGGGGAGGTGAGCCGGGACATCTCGGATCTTTCTTGGAATGAAATGCTATTGACTTTTATCCAAAAAAATGTTACACTGATTGCAAGTGGTGTGGCACCCACTCCACCTAGCCGTGGAGCTGAGAGTCAGCCACTGGAGCCTGGCCTTGGGCAGTGTAAGGACACTGTCTCTCACTGGGCTCTGCCTGCTTGACCCTGGTTTCACTGACAGGAAGCCATCCCCACCCCAGCCTTCCATTTTTCCAGCTTGAGCCCGGTGTGCAGAGTGAGTGCTCCTGTTCACTAATTCCCGTGAATGCACGAGGATGGTTATCCCTGGCCCTCTCACTGAGCCGATCCCAGTGGTGGAAAGGACTGGCAGGGCTGAGGGACAGGTTATACCTGAGCCACATCTGTGGTGCCTGGAGCCAGGGAGAGGGATCCAGGGGCTGAGAATAGAAAGGGGACATTCGGGAGAAGGGAAATCAGAGGAGGAGATGGGGGTGCTGGGGAGTCACTGGCAGGACAGGAATCCAAATGGTGGCCGACCGAGCTGTCCACAGCGGAGCCCTTTCGGACAGCCACTCTCTCTTAGGCTGGCTCCCTGGTCCAAGCTCCCGACAGTCTTTGCCTGGACTGGTGCAGGAGCTGCCACCTGGGCTGGGCACTTTTCCTCTGTCACCCAATGTCTGCCTGGGCTCCCCATGGCAGCCGCTGGGGCCCTGGGACTGCAGGTGGACCACAAAGCTCCTGTGCCCGCTGCCCCTGCTCCTGCCTGCGCAGCCTGCTCTGGCCACACTGGCTCCAGCAGCCTTCACCGCCCCCTCTGGCTGAACACTCTTCCCCCAGATGTCTCCACAGCCCCTCTGTCACTTCCTTTAGCTCTCTATTCCAGTGTCGCTTCTTCCTGACTGCCCTCCTCTAGAGGAACGCCTCCCTGCCCCTACCTCTGGCTCAGATCTCCCTATGTCCCTCTTTCAGCACCCCTTGCTCCAATGCATCCTAGTTCGTGTCTGTCTGCTTGTTGTCTGTCCTCCTAGTCCCATCCCAGCTCCAGGAGGGCAGGCACTTGGTCAACCCACTTGGCTACTGTAGTTTGATGTCTCGACCAGCTGGGTGCCTAATCACCATTGTGCTGAATGAAGAAATCGATTGATGCCCCTCCCTGGGCACCTGGTCGGAGATGAGTGAGTGGGTGACCCGCTTGACAGAAGCCAGGACAGCACCTTATTTCCCCGGGATGCCCAGGGCTGGCCACTGGGTTGCTTCAACTTCTCATTTAGGCGGTTCTTTGCCATAGGTCTGTGTGGGGAAAGCAGCATTGCCAAATCAAGCCAGCGATAAGGTGTCAAAAGCCAGCAGCATGGGGGCCCTGGGTGTGGCTCTCTCTGCTGGGAGGGGGGTTTGGGGGGCCCTGGGGCTGTGTAATTGGGAGTCAGGACTGGGAACAGAAAACAGAACAGCTGCCTCGTCCTGTCACTTGTCAGCCCCAGCCAGCTCGCCTGGGCCTCCCTGTGGGTCTGCCCTTTCCCCTTGGGGCTGAGGGCAGGCTTCCCAACCATCGAGGCCACAGGCTGACTGCAGGTTTGGCAGCGTGCCCTGGCAGCTTCGCCCCTGCAGAGCTCTGTGTGTCTGTCTGTGTGTGTGCAGGGGAGACTGCCCTGCCTGGGGTCCTGGGTACCCAAGGGGCAGGAAGTGGCAGGGGAAGCAACTCAGGGGCTTTCCGGGAACCGGGGAGTGATAGGAAGGCCAAGTGAAAGGTGCCTGCCTGGGCCGTGGCCAGCTGGGGCCGGGGCAGCTCTGTGCTCTTTGCTCCCACCATCCCAACCTGCTCCAGCCTCCCCTGTCCCCTGCCCCGGGATCTGTCACGCTCCCTCTCACCCTGGTCCTCTGCAGGGCTCTCCCCTCTCCCTGGAACAGCCCTTCCATTCTTCTTCAACCAGTTGGGCCTGGCGGGTTCCCTTTAGCCTCAGCCCTGAGGTCCCTTTCCTTAGGCCTGCCCTGAGCCCGGCTGGACAGCTGAGCCCAGAACTCCTCCCTGGGGGCCAGCCTTCTCACCCTCGGGGCAGACAGGACCAGCCTGAGACGCGGGCCCCTCCCCCTCTCCCCGCAGAGATGCGCTGGCAGCTGAGCGAGCAGCTGCGTTGCCTGGAGCTGCAGGGCGAGCTGCGACGGGAGCTGCTGCAGGAGCTGGCCGAGTTCATGCGGCGCCGCGCCGAGGTGGAGCTGGAGTACTCCCGTGGCCTGGACAAGCTGGCTGAGCGCTTCTCCAGCCGAGGAGGCCGCCTTGGGGGCGGCAGCCGGGAGCACCAAAGCTTCCGGTGGGTACTGGCGGGCAGGATGGCCGTGACCTGGTCCAAGGCCCCTCTCCCGGTCTGAGTGCCCCTTTGTCCCCAGGAAGGAGCCATCCCTCCTGTCGCCCTTGCACTGCTGGGCTGTGTTGCTACAGCAGACGCGGCAGCAGAGCCGGGAGAGTGCGGCCCTCAGCGAGGTGCTGGCTGGACCACTGGCCCAGCGCCTGAGCCACATTGCGGAGGATGTGGGGCGCATAGTCAAGAAGGCAAGGCCCCTACCCTGGGCCGGGGGTGTGTGGATGGCCTCAGGATCTAGCTGGATCCAGAGGTGCCAGGGCTGGGAGGGCACAGGAGGCCAGGCGGGCATCAGGCAGAGGGGAGCTGAGGTGTGGCAGTGGGTGTGGCCTGGGGCAGTACTGTGGTCACTCTCCTCCTCCCCAGAGCAAGGATCTGGAGCAACAGCTGCAGGAGGAGCTCCTGGAAGTGGTGTCAGAGCTGCAGACGGTGAGAATACTGTCCGGCCCGCCCCAGTCTGGGGACACTGTCACATCACATCATCCTGGGCCAGGCTCAAAGAGGAGGACTGGGTGCCCAGGAGAGACTCAGGTTTCAGGGACCACAAGCACGGCCCTCTCTCCCTGCTCTGGGCACCGGGTGGCTGGGCTGAGCACTTGCGCAGGATCTCCTAGCTCTCAGGTCTGAGTCCCAGGTGGGTGGGGAGGGGGAAGGGGAGGGCTGGCTGGGGCCATGGCCTTCAGTGGGGCTGCCTGGCCCTGGGCCTCCTTGCAGGCCAAGAAGACATACCAGGTGTACCACATGGAGAGTGTGAATGCCGAGGCCAAGCTCAGGGAAGCAGAGCGGCAGGAGGGGAAGCGAGCAGGCCGGAATGCCGCCACTGCTGCCACCACCACTACCGGCACCGAGGCAGGGCCTCTCCGCAAGGGCTCCCTCAAGAAGGGAGGGCGGCTGGTGGAGAAGGTAGGCCTGGCGGGCACCTGTCTGACTCCAAAGGCTCTGGCTCCTGGTCTGTGTCCTTCTGAGTCCTTGGCCCTCACTGGGGCCTGCTGGGAAGGGGTGTGTGGAGGAGGAAGGGAGGGCTGGCTCTTGGGGGCTCCCTACGCTGGGGTGGGAGACAGAGGGGACTGGAGAACAGTCATGAGGCGTGGAAAAGCCTGCCACAGTGTCCCCCATGCTCCTAGCTGCCCCTACCCACCTCCAGCCCAGCCTGGGCAAAGAGAGATTTGATGCTCCCAAGCCTGGGGGCCTTTCCACCCGTCATCCTTGCCTCCCAGACTGCTGTGAGATTTCAGAGGAGTAAGAAGACATGTAGGATGGGTGATTGAGGGACGTACAGGGAGAAGTGTTTGAGGTGGTCCCTGGAAGAAGGGTGAGGACAATGAGGCTGGCAGGGTTGGGTAGGACGGCCATCAGGACTTCTGGGCCAAATTGTTGAGGCCTGTGGGATATGGGGGGCAGCTGTCCTCATGGGAAAGGGAGGAGAGAGAGCATGTTGGGCTGTGGAGGTGAGGAGGCCAGAGACGGGGGCCAGCCGGCCTCCTGGGTGACCCTGGTGTGCTTGTGTGGTCCTGAGCAGCGTCAGGCCAAGTTCTTGGAACACAAGCTCAAGTGCACAAAGGCACGCAATGAGTACCTGCTCAGTCTGGCCAGTGTCAACGCTGCTGTCAGCAACTACTACTTGCATGATGTCCTGGACCTCATGGATGTGAGTGGCGGGGGCTGGGGTGGAGGGGGTGCACCTGGTGCTTGGAGCCTGCCCGAGCCGTGTCCCCGCTTCCTCCCCAGTGCTGTGACACGGGATTCCACCTGGCCCTGGGGCAGGTGCTCCGGAGCTACATGGTGGCCGAGAGCCGCACCCAAGCCTCCCAGATGCAGGGCCTGGGCAGCCTGGAAGAGGCAGTGGAGGCCCTAGACCCTCCAGGGGACAAGGCCAAGGTGCTGGAGGTGCACGCAGTCGCCTTCTGTCCCCCGCTGCGTTTTGACTACCAGCCCCACGAGGGGGATGAGGTGAGGGTCCCTGCCAACCCCTTAAGGCAAATGGCTTCCTGGAGACTGTAGATAAATCAGGTCGAATGACTTCACTAAGGAGTCGAAACTCCTGAATACAGCTTCTGTCTCAGAGCCTCGTTCAATGGCCTCAAGGCCAGTGAGACTCAGAGGTTTCCCCACTTGCATTGGAAGCAAGCAGCTTGCTTCTGCAGCCTGGCCAATGAACGCACACCCCCAGTAGCACACACAACCAAGAGACCATGGGTTCGGAGGCCAGCTGGTAGGCGGCGTGTAGCCGTCTGCGTAATCTTCCTTCCGTGGTTCTGTGCACTTCTGACATTTCATGATGCAAACTTGCAGGAAAATCAACCGTGCCAGCAGGAAAATGTAACTAGGCACCTTTGTGCACACCTCTGACCTGTTTTGTCCTTGTGTGTTTATCCTGATGACCACTGTGCATGGGCTGGGGTTACACTCAGCTTTTAGTTAGTTAATTTGTATTTTGACCAAAGTCCTGTCTAAAAGAGTCAACCATTCCTCAAGGCTGACAATGGCACACAGCACTTCTCTGACTGACCCTTTCTGTTCCTGATTCCCACTCCCCAGAAACAGCCATTTCCCAGTCTTCTAGCTGCTTCTCTCTGTGTTCAGACTGCCTGGTGCTTTTCAGCTCTCCATAGGCACTACCGACTTCCCTGCGTGGAGGATTAAGGCTGCTCCCCACATCACCATCTCCCTGCAATACTCCTTTCCGTCTATTCCACCACCAGTCAGTCTGCATTCCTGCTTCCTTCAAAGCCCTGTGCTGCAGCCCCCTAGTCCAGACTGGTCAACTTGTAGGCCTGCAAAGCTGGAATCCTGTAGCTTCTCTTCCTGGTCATCCAGAGCATCCTTGCCATTCTCTCCTGCACTGGACCCCCTGTTTTCTGGACCCTGTGTCTTCCTCTTTCTTATTTATTACCCTTGTTTGGGCAGCCGTCTTCCCCCCATACTTTCCTGACTTTGAATACCTGAAAATGTCTGTATTCTCTCCTTGACATTGATGATTAGTTTAGCTGGGTATGGAATTCAAGGCTGAAGATCGTTTTCCTTTTAGCATGTTAAAGGTATCACTGCAGGCTTTCCATACTTGTAGGTGAGAAGTCCAATGCCCTTCTGATTTCTGGACCTTTGTACATGATCTGTAATTTTTCTCCCTGAAGCTTTTAGGATAGTCTTTTTCCCTGGTGTAAAATTTTATGATGATATACCTTGAGGACCCTTCTTCCTTCATGTTGCTAGGCAACCAGGGGGCCCTGTCAGTCTGGAAACTTGCATCCTAAGGTTTTAAGCTGAGATTATTCCTTTGATAATTTTTTCTCTCAATTGTCTTTTCTCTTGCTTTCAAGAATGCTTTTTTTTAGAGGCATGGTAATTGTTTGTTTGTTTGTTTATTCATTTTTTAATGGAAGCACTGGGGATTGAACCCAGGACCCAATGCATGCTAAGCACGTGCTCTACCAATTGAGCTATACCCTCCCGTCCATCAAGAATTCTTGTAATAGCATGTTAGACCTCATGGGTTGATTGTCTAATTTCCTTACCTTTTCTCTTTCCTATTTCCCATCACTATACCTTTTAATTCTGCTTTTTTTTCTTTTTTGTTGAGGGGAGGTAATTAGGTTTATTTATTTAATCTCTTTTAAGGGAGGTACTGGGGATTGAACCCAGGACCTCATGCATGCTAAATATGCACTCTACCACTGAACTGTACCCTCCTCCCCCAATTTTGCTTTCTTAGAGATTTTTTTCAATTCTCTTTTCCAACCACTTGTTGAATTTTTCTTTAAAATTACTTTCCAATTTTTTTGTTTCTAGGAGTTCTGTTTTGTTTTCAAAATTCCTGTTTAAAAGAATCCTTTGTTCTTGTTTCATGAATACAGTGTCTTCTTAAATTTTTCTGAAATATTCATTTTTTTCCTCAACATTTTCTGCTATTCCCTGCATTTTCTGTTTTCTTGCTTTTTTGGGGGGGAGGTAATTAGGTTTTTATTTATTTTTTTAATGGGGGTACTGGGGATTGAACCCAGGACCTTGTGTGTGCTAAGCATGCTCTCTACCGCTGAGCTCTGCCCTCTCCCTTGTTTTCTTGGTTTGATCTGTGTCTCCCTCAAATAGCTGGCAATTCTGGGTCATCAGTTCATATTTGAGAAGAGGTAGGCACTGAGGGGTGGATTTGCTACTTGATGTGTGTTAACAGAGCTTGTCAGTGGGTTGCCCCATGGGGTGGCTAGGCAGGGACTCCCACACCATGGGGACCTGGGGGGTCTCCTACGAGGCTTCTAGATAGAACTCGCAGGACTTGGGGACTTAGGGGAGGGGCTTGGCTCAGGCTTGAATGCTGTCAGGGAGCCGGAGTCGCTCTGACTGGGTGTCTTAATAAATCTTATCTAGGGGATGGGGCAGGGCTGGATAAAAGGAGGCTGAAGCTGTCACCAGTGAGGAAAGAACTGTCACTCTTATTACCCAGGACGCAGGGAGGTTTGGTCATTTTTGTGGCTTGGACAAAGGTCTTGTTTCTGTCTGGGCTTGGACATGCTGATGAGGTGATCTTGTTTTTGTCTTCATGGGCACAGAGTGGCTTTGCCTGGTGTTGATGCTCTGTGACGTCCCTTATGTGCAACATGGTGACACCGAGGCGTGGCTGAGCCCCTGGCTGCTGCACTGCCCCCCGCCAGTGGGGAGCTACACCCCCTCCTGCAGCTGCAACTAGTGTCCCTGGGGCCAGAGCCCCCTGATTTATCCTTTCCAGAGAGCACATTTCTAGTTTCCTGCTAATTGTGTGAATTTGAGGGGATGGGTCTTCTAATATCAGTGTTTCCTAGGGCCTGGATAGAAATTTTAGAATTGTGGTAAAATATATCTAAGGTTTAGCATTTTGACCGTCTTAGGTGCACAGTTCACTGGCATGAAGCACCTTCACTTTCTTATCCTCCAAAGTGATTCACTTTGTCCCCCTGAAACACTGACTACCCCAGGCCTTGGCCCCCACCCTCCTACTCTCTGTCTCCAGGAATCCGGCTCCTTTAGGCACCTCATACAAGTGCAATCATATACTATTTGTCCTTTTGTGACAAAAGGTTGATTTCACTGAGCATAATGTCCTTAGGGTTCACCCACTTGGAAATATATATCAGAATTTCCTCCTTTTTTTTTAACAGCTGAATAACATTCCATTGTATGGATAGACCCCGCTTTGCTCCTCTGGGTTTCATCCGTGGGCACTGGGGTTGCTTCCACCCTTGGGCATGCAAGCAGGGCAGCCAAGGGGCCGTGCTCCAGCCTCGGTGTGTACAGCTGTGCTCCTTCCTCCTGGGAAGGTGTCCTTGCCGAGCTTCAGAACTGCGGGTACTAAGTGTCAAGGCTGCTGAGCCTGTGCATCAGCCAACGAGGAGCAAAAGCGTGCCCTGGAGCACTCCATGCCTGCTGCCCAGCCCGCCCCCTCGCCCCTCACCATGCCGGAGCTCTCAGTCCTCAGCCCCCCTGGATGCTGCCCCCTGCAGGTGGCTGAGATCCAGGTTGAGATGGAGCTGCGGGACGAGATTCTGCCCAGAGCCCAGAACATCCAGAGCCGCCTGGACCGACAGACCATCGAGACAGAAGAGGTCTGAGCAGCCTGGCCCCTGGGAGGGAAGGGAGTTGGAGACGTGGAGCCAGGTGGCTGTGGCCTCCCCTCCCTCTTCCTTCTGACTTGGACTTCCTGTCCGCCACTTCTTCCTGCCCTGGCGCTGCCCCTCCCCAGGTGAACAAGACGCTGAAGGCCACACTGCAGGCCCTGCTGGAGGTAGTGGCATCAGAGGACGGGGACATGCTCGACTCCTTCCAGACCAGTCCATCCACAGAGTCCCTCAAGTCCACCAGCTCCGATCCGGGTGCTCGGCAGGCCGGCCGGAGGCGGGTCCAGCAGCAGGAGACTGAGACTTTCTATGTCACAGTGAGGGCTGGGCCTCGGGCTGGGAGGGCAGGGGCGGGACCCAGGGAGGGCCCGGAGCCGGCTCGAAAACTGGGCTCTTCTTGGGGCTTCCCAGAAACTCCAGGAATACCTGAGTGGACGGAGCATCCTTGCCAAGCTGCAGGCCAAACATGAGAAGCTGCAGGAGGCCATTCAGCAAGGTGGGCCCTGCTCCCAGCCCCAACACCTGTGCCTCTCTACCCAGAGAGGTTGGTTGGTGTGCAGGAAATAACCCAGTGAGGATCCGGGCCTTGGTCCGCCCCTTTGTCTTGCCGCTGCCTGTGGCCTCCAGGCCACGCCTTTCCCTTTGCGGTGCACTGAGGGACCTCCCAGCCTGAGAGGCACAACCTTGTTTTCTCCTCCCCAGGTGACAAGGAGGAGCGGGAGGTGTCCTGGTGAGTCCTTTGTGAAGGGCTGCTTTGTTCCTAGGAGCTGCAGTGTCCCCACCTCCCTTCTTCTCGGGGCCCAGCTCCGCTGTTCCTTCCTCTGTGGTCTCAGTTTCCCACTTTGCTCTGTGGGTTCTGGAACAACCCACAAGCTCTAGCGTCCTGTTTGGCTGGGCTGGGGGAGGTTGGAACAGCTTATTCTCCACACCCACCCCCCTCAGAGCCAGCTCCTGTTCACCACAGGACTCAGTACACACAGAGAAAATTCCAGAAGAGCCGCCCCCCTCGTCCCAGTTCCCAGTATAACCAGAAGCTCTTTGGGGGAGACATGGAGAAGTTTATCCAGGTACTTGCTTTGCCTCACCCTCTCCCTGCATTTCTGGTCCCTCTCCAGCCCCGGGCCCCCTCTGTGGCCTGCCTGTGGCCTCAGTATCCTCTGTGGCTGACCTCTGCTCTCTTCCCGGGTGGGCCTTTGTCAGGCCTGTGCTGATCAAAGGGCGCCACTCTAACAAGGATCAGAAAGCTCCAGGTGGTGGCGTTTCGAGGGCTGAGGAGTGAGTTAACACAAGGGTGCTGGCAGGCCCCACTTCTGGGGACTAGACGGTGAAATAAGGGAAGCAAGGACGGTCAGAAGAGAAGAAATAATGCTATCACGTGCAGTGATGTGATTCCGTAGGTGACCACTCAAGAGAATCAACACATTATTTCAGTGAACAAATTTGAGTTTCATGACATTGTTTGATTCGAGGTCAACATACAGTTTCATTGTGTTTCACATGCCAGCAATAAAGAGTTAGCAGATACCATGTAAGGCATGGCCAGTGGTGGTACCTGGGCTGTCAGACACCTGGGCGTGGATGTCATAGGCCATGCTGTCCAGCAGCATAACTCGATGTTAAGAGAAAATAAAAGCGAGTGAATGAGCTGGTGGGCTGTGCGCACAGTGACATGGACACCCTCTCTGTCCCTGTCCCCAGAGCTCAGGGCAGTCCGTGCCCCTGGTGGTGGAGAGCTGTGTCCGCTTCATTAACCTCCATGGTGAGGAAGACCTGGGCCCCCCTGCCACCGGCCTGGCCCCTGATCCTGGAGGGAGTAGAGCAGAGACTCAGTGCCCATGGCTCTTCGTCTTCCCGCAGGCCTGCAGCACGAGGGCATCTTCCGGGTGTCGGGTGCCCAGCCCCGGGTCTCAGAGATCCGTGACGCTTTTGAGAGAGGTGGGGACGGGTGGGGTGGGGAGGGAGGTGGGGGGTGCTGGTAGAGTAGGTGTGATCGGCCTTCTGGCCCCCTCCCCCACCATGCTACCGCCAGGAGAGGACCCGCTGGTGGAAGGCTGCACGGCCCGGGACCTGGACTCAGTGGCAGGGGTGCTGAAACTCTACTTCCGGAGCCTACAGCCCCCGATATTCCCCCCCAGACCTCTTTGGAGAGCTGCTGGCTTCTGCAGGTGAGGCTAGGGCCCGAGGTGGGCCCTGTGGGACGGGTGCCTCCCCAGTGGCCAGGGCTGCGCTCACCAGCTTCTCTCTGGGGGGATGGCCTTGGCCACAGAGCTGGAGGCCATGGCTGAACGGGTGGAGCACGTGAGCGGCCTCCTGGTCCGGCTGCCCGGATCGGTGCTGGTGGTCCTCCGCTACCTCTTTACCTTCCTCAACCAGTGAGTGCTTCTTGAGGGGCGAGGGCAGCCGGGGCGGGGGCCCTAGTTGGCTGATGGTGGGGGCAGTCCTGGGGGCACGGGGCAGAGAGCTCCTTGCCTATGACCATGTGTACCCCCAGCCTGGCCCAGTACAGCGACGAGAACATGATGGACCCGTACAACCTGGCAGTGTGCTTCGGGCCGACACTGCTGCCAGTGCCTGCTGGGCAGGACCCAGTGGCCTTGCAGGGCCGGGTGAACCAGCTGGTGCAGACGCTCATCTTGCAGCCCGCTCGGGTCTTCCCACCCCTGTCCCTGCTGCCTGGCCCGGTCTATGAAAAGTGTATGGCGCCACCTTCTGCCAGCTGCCTGGGGTACGCTCTTTGTGCTTCCTGGAGTGGAGGTCCAGTGGAGGGGAGCCCCTTGTCTGCTCATCCATCTTGCTCTGCTTTGGACTTCAGGGATGCCCAGCTGGAGGGCCCAGCGGGGGAGAATGAGCCGGAGCTGGAAGCTGGGACCCTGGCCCTTGAGGATGGTGAGGGTAACAGAAAGGAGGGCCCCCCATCCC